TAACATCACATCAGCACACAGCGCGGCCGACAGTCCACCTGCGCAACAACTAACCCGACTACTCGCTGCTTGCCCACCCTGCTAGAAGCTGAAGCGTGATGTCTACTTCACCTTTCAACAGGCCCGCGTGCTGCCAAGCTCTACCCTTCGCGACGACGCGCCTAACGACAACCTCTAGTGATGGAGAGGCGCCATCGAAGACAACCGCATTCCTGTGTTTCCAAAGCTCCCAAAGGCCGAGAGTAAGAAGCGCCCTCAACTCCTTCGGCTTGTGCACGCCTGACGTTCTTGCAACACACCACTTCTTGAGGGTGTCTTCTGTAGTTGGTGTCCACTGCGGTTTTTCAAGGGCTGAGCACAGGGAACTGAGTTCAAAGATGCACGACGATGACATACAATAAAGAAACAACAGAGCATCGAAGCCATTCGGATTTTTCTTAGGATGGTCACCCTACACATAGTTTTTTTTGAGCAATCCCTACCCAGATATGTATGTGTGAGAATTATAGTGGGCCTTGGTCCATCAAAATTTCAGGAAATAGAAATGATACCCAGCATGCGTGGTGCGTCACTCGGAGATTGGTTTCAATTATTTCAATGGTATCGGGTTGTATGAAACATTAGTATTTGAATTAATAATATAATAATTGAAACTAAAGTGCATATAAATTTATTGTGCCCAATTATTGTATATTTGTAGTACATTTAAATATAAGTAGCATGAATGGTGGAAGGTTGGTCGTTTTCATGCATAGTGGCATGTTGAGTTGACATAGTTTAGTCGCACATTGTCAATGACGGAAGGTAGCGAGCCAAAGAGACATGGGTGTGCCACGGTTCATATGCAAGGAGTGAGGGAGGTACCGAGCGAAAGCCCAATGCCTCTCGGCGGTGCCGCCGCCATCGCCTCCGGGTGTTGCGTCCCTCCTAGTGGTGATGTCGTGGTTTTACCTCCACCCCTTGTCCATGCTTGGGGGAAAACCATGTCCATTGCTAGACTTGATGATGGTGCCTTGCGTCGTCACCATTTTGGGGCGTCATCATAGGCTTGATACTACGTTTGGCGGTCTCGTTTATGTCCTCTCATGTGACTATCTCTTCAGCTACCTTGATCCAAACTGCTCGCCTACAGGGATAGCACTCGACAGAGGGCCCTCTCTAGCGGCATTTTTGGTGGACGTTTTGTGACAAAGTTCTGTGATTTTATCCAAGAGACATGGGTTTGCTTTTCGTAGGCTTAGAGGCGCTTCTCTGTCCTGCCACTTCCATGCTGCTCAACGGCAAGCCGCCAACGTCCAGTAGAGCATCACTTGTGTAGTGTTAGTTCAATCATCTTGTTTTAGCCTAGTTTTCTTTGATCGGCTTGGTAAGAGGGTTACCACAACATCTTATATCATTCTGTCAATTGAGTTTATCTATAAAGCAAGAGGAAACGCTATTTCGTGAGCTCTCGCTACATGTCCAAAATGGATGGGGTGGACTCAAATTTTTTTTTTTGCAAAAAGGATCAGATCTATTATAAAGATTCACTGGAAGTACAAAACACCTCAAACATAATAAAAATTATATTTTGGTCCATGGACCACCGAACGACCATTGCCGCTGCCAGAACGAGCCGCCGACGCGCCGCTGCCACCGCTCTCATACCAGAGCCGGACTGACCTTGTTGACGATAGCCGGGGAGTCTTTGTTCATGTGCCCCTGAGGACCAGTGCCCTGGAACCACAGTCATCGCCGTTGAATCCTTGAATCGATTTGAAGAACTTGACACCAAATATCGCCGTTCTGTACACACGACGAGAAACCCTAACCTTGCTGCCCCACAGAGTTGGCAGGAATCTATGCCGGAGCTCCGTCTAATCCGTTCCAACGAACGAACTTGAGGAGCATCAAAGCCCGAAACACTGACTCGAAGAAGCGCCGCCATCCACCCAAACGCCGCCCCCACAAGGGCTAAACTCTACCAATCTACTAGCCAGATCTGAGGCAACATAAATCCCCTCCCCGCCACCGGCAGCCGTAGCGGCAAGCGGTGTTGGGCGAATAAGCCGCGGCGACGCACCGGACGCGACCAGCACGTGTATGGGCGCGAGCTGGCCGGGTCGGGCGCGTTGGGACCGCGGGTGTGCGTGCGTGTGTGCATGGGTAGCGTTTGGGCGTGCGTGTGCATGTACATGGGACGCGTCGTAGTAGGCCTGGACTGTTGGCGAGCCGTGCGGGGAGCTCGTGCAAGATCTGTTGGAGGGCCGCCGTGAGCTGTGCGTTGGAGCGCGTCGCTGCCGCGAGCGAGGCGGACGGGTCGTGGGCGCGAGGGAGCTGGAGCGTGGGTGCGTGTGTGCCCGGTCGCTGACCCTGGGTATAAAAATCCGCACGGTGACGTTGTAATGTGTGTGCGGCTTGAGTTGTTGCTCGAGGAAAAAATACGAGGCCGTATGTGCGGCGGTGTATGAGCGCTGGAAACCTCCTGTGTCCACCTTTCTCCTTCTTCCCATGATCGTTTGAGCTAGAGTAAAGAGGAAGAGAGAGAGCTCCGGTGAGCTGTAGGCGAGAGCTAGGGCAAGGTAGACACCAACAATTGGCATCAGAGCCACGTGAAGATCAGGGTGCGCCGGCGATGTTGATCGTCCCGTATGGCGGTGGAGCGGGCGGATCGCTGCCGCAGCCGGTGCCATAGCTCACCGGCGAAAACTACACGACGTGGTCGATCAAGGTGGAGGCAAACCTTGATGCGACCGGGCCGTGGGAGGCGGTGGTGGTGCCAGAGGACGCATCGGCGACCGTCATCGCGAAGAAGGACAAGCCCGCGCGCATACCTGCTCAGTGCGCTCGCCGAGGACCTGCTGCTGCAGGTGGCATCGAAGAAGACTGCGGCGGAGGTGTGGGCGAGCCTCAAGGCGAGGTTCATCGGGGCGGACCGAGTCCGGGCGGCACGGCTGGGCACTCTCCGAGGGGAGTTTGAGATGCTGCGCATGGCGGAGGGCGACATGATGGATGGGTTCGCCGGCAAGCTCGGCGGCATGGCGGCGCGCTATGCGGGACTCGAGTCGATGCTGGACGACGCCGCGATGGTGAAGAAGCTCCTCGATTCTGTGCCGGATCGCTTGTACGCGGCGGTGGCCGGAATCGAGCAGTTTTGCGACGTCTCCACCATGCCATTCGAGGACGCGCTCGGTCGCCTGAAGGCCTTCGATGAGCGGCTGCGACGGCGTGGACAGGCGGGCGGCGAGCGGGCGGACGGCCAACTCATGTACACGGTGGCGCAGTTGCGAGCATGGGAGCGGCAGAGGGACGGTGCTCGAGACGACGACGGCGTGCGCAGCGAGACGTCGGGCTTCGGCAGAAACCGGCGCGGTCGTTGTTACAAATGCGGCGACCGTGGACACTTCAAGCGGGAATGCCCATAGTTGAAGAAGGCGCCGGCGGCGGAGCGTGCGTTGCTTGCTGGTGGACGATGTCGTCGAGGAGCCCGGCCTGCTCTGAGCCACGGCTTAGGGCGCGAGTGTTGGGCGAATAAGCCGAGGCGACGCATCGGACGCGACCAACACGTGTATGGGCGCGAGCTGGCCGGGTCGGCCGAGTCGGGACCGCGGGTGTGCGTGTGTGGGTAGCTTTTGGGCGTGCGTGTGCATGTACACGGACACGTCGTAGTAGGCCTGGACTGTTGGCGAGCCGTGCGGGGAGCTTGTGCACGATCTGTTGGAGGGCCGCCGTGAGCTGCGCGTTGGAGCGCATCGCTGCCGCGAGCGAGGCGGACGGATTGTGGGCGCGAGGGAGCAGGAGCGTGGGTGCGTGTGTGCCCGGTCGCTCACCCTGGGTATAAAAATCCGCACGGTGACGTTGTAACGTGTGCGCGGCTCGAGTTGTTGCTCGAGGAGAAAATACGAGGCCGTACGTACGGCGGTGTATGAGCGCTGGAAACCTCCTGTGTCCACCTTTCTCCTTCTTCCCATGATCGTTTGAGTTAGAGTAAAGAGGAAGAGAGAGCTCCGGCGAGCTGTAGGCGAGAGCTAGGGCAAGGTAGACACCAACAAGCAGAGGGAAGGTGAATCCACAAGCTCACCGGTGGAGATGAAGGGGAGAAAGGCTTTCCCTAGTCGCCTTGCCGGGTGGACTCAACTAGTATAATGGTTTCCTAGAAAGTAAAATGCACAGGAAGTCCCAAAGATATTCTAGTTGTGTCATCTTGGTTCTATAAGTATGGAAATGCATCGGTGCAACCCAGGTATGACCTACCCTCGGGCGTGTTGACTAATGCCACTTTTGGCCATATTTT